TTTGCGAGTTATCGGGAAACTTTGCATAATTGCAAAGTAGTTAGTTTTGTTCTCGCATCAGTTTGTGCGCGAAGTAAGAAATTGGCGCAACGGCATTCAACCGTGAGTGCCGATTCTCGAATGCGCGCAAATCAAAGATTCAATTGGTTCTCCTCGATCTTGGAGGTCGCGTAAACCGATTACTTATTCATTGCTGCGTTAATAGCCGTGCAATTACGGCATAAATTATTTGGTTTTTACGAGCTGTCAAAGTAAAACGCTCCCGATTATACCGAAATGTCGACGAAAGAGGAACGACCGAGTGCGAGTTTGCTCCTGTGTGGTGGAATAAGTATTACAAAGGGCAGCTTAGTAAGCGGAAACAGATTCCTATAAAACGTGATCATTTTGTGCAAAAGAGATAAGGTTTATCTTGCAACAAGTAATTTATTATTTTATTTATTTTTCTCAGCATCGACGTTTTATAAAGATGTTAACGATACAAATAAAATTAAGATATATAAAACGTAGATATATACGATAGTACTTATATATATATATATATTTATCCTAATTAATCATTACGACTTTAGAGGGATACTAATGCAGCAGAATAGTTGTATAGCAAATTATGCACGCAACATTATTATAATGAAAAATACAAATTTGAGCAATGTAGAGATTTACTTAAAAAGAAAGGATTATATATGCATCAGTTCTCTTCTATCTTAGCATTAACCTAGCGGCTTGATTTCCTCTAAACGCCCGGCGGCGCAATATCGAATAACAGAGGCAAAGACGAAACGATGCGAAGGTGCCTTGCCCTTTGATCCCACATCCCTTGGAATTTCGTTTCGTCTCGAGTATGCGCGCTGTTCGCCGTACGGCGAACGCGAGATGAAGCATATCGCGGGCGCGAACGCGCGTTTTAACGGTAACCGTTACCCGTTACGGTAACGCGCGGAACGCGCCGTTATATCAATTTCGGTTTGCGGCCCGGAGGCGAAATCGACCGGAAAGAAGATCGGCAAATTCCGGGGAAGACGGCGACGACCGCGCGCACAAACGAAAAGAGATTATCATCCCACCGTACGCAAATATGCAGGCTGTCCGGATATGCACCTGCGCGGTGCATTACGCAGTCTCTATCGCGATATTTTCTCCCGGTCGTCCGCCGTTGCTATCGTTCTTTCGCGTCGGCAAAGTGGAACGAACGTGCTCTTCAGCGAATACCGGCCGCGAAGAGAGAGACAGGGTAAAATTAGTTTCAACCTCTTGCGGTGTTCCCCTTCCTCAGTCAAGACCGGATCTGTATGGAAACTAATGAACGGGCTTCTGTTGCGGTTGGCAAGTGAACGGGTCAGTCACGAGAGAGATAGAGAAAGAGATGCGAACTTCACGATTATGTTATATTGAATAATAATTATAGTCGACTAACTCACAGATTACTATTATTAAAATTATTATTCATTATATATACATTTTATATATAATATT